CCCCATCTCTCTCTCTCTCTCTCTCTCTCTCTCTCTCTCTCTCTCTCTCTCTGCCTTGTGGTGTTTGTCTTCCTCTGGCCTTCCCGGTGAGCCCTCTGGCCTCCCTGGTGAGGCTATGTGCCTTGCTCCCGCTTGTCATCCAATGCCTTGTTGCCTCCCTGTCCTTTGCTTCTCTGTCTTTTGCCTTAGTCCCCCTTCTTAGTTGTCTGTTACTGTTCTCCATATCTGCTTACGTGTGGGGATTTTTGGGAATAGTCCTGCCAGCCTATGTTGATGCCTATTCTTTGGGAATAGACCTGCCAAGTTGGCCAGACCAGTGGTCGACACTGCCTGACCAGGTGGTGGAAGTCCTCAGAAGAGCTCGGAGACAGGCCCAAGCAGCCCGGTTTTGACCCCGGCCTGGCTAGAAAAGTAGAGGCCATGGAAGCAGCCACATCTTTTGGCTAGGCAGTATAGCCAGTTTGCAAAGCAAACAAACGCTGTGGGCATCGCTGGTGACAGAGCCAGCCAGCCAGCACCACCCACAGCCGGGTTTGGAATAAGAGAGAGAGTGACAGACACAGCCAGCCAGCACCAGCCATAGCAGGGTTTGGAACAGGAGAGAGGAGGTGGTGCCAAGGAGTGGAGACCCTTGCAGGAAGTCTGTGCGAGAGAGAGCTAGAGAGAGAGCTTATGGATGCCAAGAGAGCTTCAGAATCGTAAATACTTTGCCTGGTCAGCGGTGGGAGCAGCATTGGGCTGCATGGCATTTTGTCCGTCAGTGAGTTCGAGCAGGCTAGAGTAGTAGGATAGTGTGTAGGGTCACAAATATTGTTGTTGTGGGGGATTTCTTCATCAGGAGCCTATCAGTATTATTGACATCTTATGCATACGTGATCAATGCCTTTTTTCTACTCTTTGGTCTGGCGCTCAGTGCTTGTATATGAGTTCAATGTGCTTGTGATTCGAGTGCTGACTGCATGGGTCTCCGGCAATGCAGACGTATAGAGAGAAGTTGGATGGTGAGGGACATATGTAAAGTTGCAAGGACCTGGTATGGATATTTCGGCAATGTGGAGAGGCTGGATAGTGGCTGGATATCGATGGTACCAAATGGAATGTATACTGATTGGAGGGTAGGTAGGCCTGGTTCCAAGGATGATTACAGCTTGCAATAACTGTCCTGCAAAGTGCTTGTAGGCCTGCAGGCAAGGCGGGCAGGGCGCTGAGCACGAAGCGAAGGTCGAGCTTGGCTGGTGGACAGCCCAGTCCACCAGTATGTGGCATACTGCGTAGCCACACGGGCCCTGTAGGACCCGTCCCGGACGTTCAGCCTAAAAGCCTAAAACTTAGGATCTACAAGCCCCGGTCGTTTCAGCCTGAAAACTGAAAAACGAGGGCCTTTTGATGCCTCTTGATGAAGGCATTGATCTCTCTGTAATGTACAGCTGAGTCCTGTACTCACTCTCTGCCTTCCTGAACATCGCCGAAGCCTTTTGATGTCTCTTGATGAAGGCATTGATCTCTCTCTCTCCTGCATTATCACCTCTCCAGTCCACGACACTGTTGCGATGTCAGGCATCAACAAGTTGCAAAAATGGCATGCTTAAGGCACCCATGGAATGCGCCTGATCGTCGGATCTGTGTGGTAAGCCGGTATGTTCCTTGCCGAAATGTTGACGTGCGTTGAATCAGTGCAGATAGCATTCACCCTCTTCACCCCCAACACCCTGATCACCTCCTCCCGCGTCCTCCCTGAGGCTGGAGCACAGTTGTCCTTCCCCTCCATGTCCACACTCTTGACCATGACAACCCCCATATCCCCAGTTGCAATGAAGTTGATGACTGGCCTGGTGCTGGTCATCATCGTATTGTCTGTCATCAACGTGAGGCCTGTAACATCACATAGCTCCTGGATCTTCTTCAAGTCTGCATCCACTGTCTTGTACTCAGCCGGCAGGGCCTTGGTCCTCAAGACGTTGTATGAAGGCATCTTCATGATCCTCCTCGACCGCCCCACCTCATTCATGATCTTCTCCATCTTCTTGTATGACTCTGACCTTGCAGCGTTGAAAGGAATGACGTTTTCGAACATGACAGAGACGACTGCTTGGTCAAACTCTTTTTGCAGCTCATCCACAACATAACTGTTCATGGATGTCTGCTGCCCAGAAAGAACAGACGTGGCAGCTCGTGAAGGGAAAAGGATGGTGAAACCGTAACGAGAAAAAGTTGGAGGAGGGAAACCTACACTGAAGAAGAAGAAGAAGAAGAAAAAGCAGGGCTAACGAATTTTTGGAAAAAAAAGACATTGAGGTAGGAGTGTGGTGGGTGGGAAGATGGAGGAGAAGTAGGGATGGCGGATTTCGGAAAAGAAACAAAAAATGTGAGGTTGAAGGGTGATGGTGGGAAGAAGAAGAAGAAGAATAAGAAAGGAGAGAAGTAGGAGAAGGATGATGGGACCCTAATGACAAAAAGAAGAAAGATGGAGGAGGGAAACCTAAACTGAAGAAGAAGAAGACGAAGAAATCTCTCTCTTTCTCTCTCTCTCTCTCTCTCTCTCTCTCTCTCTCTCTCTCTCTCTCTCTCTCTCTCTCTCTCTCTCTCTCTC